AGTGACTGTTGCTGTTGACCATTCACTTCAAGATGTACATGCCAGGCAAACAAGCTGGTCCTCTGTGCCAGATTCAGTGGCATTGGCATATCACACAGGTCCATCACTCTCCCCCTGCCTACACAACAAGCTCCAGAGCAGGGAAACCTCCAGTCTGGGCAGATTCTTTAAACATTTAATTCTTTCCCTGAATGATGAAGGCAAAGCCTTGACACCAGATGAGTCTATGCTCATCACTACAACTTGACAGCTAAGGCCAGCACTGTGGCCAGACAAACCATGTTTAAGTAATACTAGAGTTCCAGCCATTAACAAGAAATCAGATAGTGAGAAAGGGGTGATGGATTATTACCCATACTTATTTCTCATAAATCCTTTTGAGCCTTCAAAATGCTATGAATTATTCTTTTTCTATTTGAAAAACTTTTGCAAATAAAGATTTTTAACCAGCTTTACACCAATATTACATATGAATGTGGGAAAATCATGAGTTTGTCTTGTAGCCAGTTTTAATCCAGTTCAAGACTGCATGCACTAGCAAAATGAGATGACATAAAATCATGGAAATACCTGAGGTTCCCAGTGGATTCCAGCTTTCAGACACCATAATTCCATTGAAGACATGAAAGAAGTGCTCAAATGAGAATCTAGCTGTTGGGGTTAAACAATGGGCCCCAATCTTATTCTTCACTGTGAATTTGCTCCAAATGTGAAGATGAGCTTTGCCAATTTTCTCCCCACCCCCAGGATTGCAGTGCCATCACACAAACACAGTCAGCTGAGAGAAGAGGAGGAAGGAATTTCCTCACTTTCTTATCCAGACCTTTGAGTAGGTGATGCTAAGAGGGCGTGGAGCAAACAGGTGCTGTCAGTGGGGAGGCAGAATGCTATGGGGTCAGGTGAAGCTGCTGCAGTGTGATTCAATTCAGATTGCCTTGTTTATCATAGGAAAAATTGTAATTTGGAAAGTGAAGACCAAAACATGAAAAAAAAAACAAAACCCAAACCCAAATCAATATCTAGTGCATGGGGATGTATTGTTTCTCAAGAAAGTGAAGGATTCCTCTGCCCTCTTCAACTCTCCCCTTTTTGTGCTGTTGCAGAACTTGTGCAACCTTAACCCTCCTTAATCTGGGTGGGGAACATTGTAGGGATCAGTGCAGGAGGCTGACTTTTTTCACACACTAGCATGGGGTTCAGGTCCTTCTACCAATAACTGTCTGTCTTCCAGACTAGCATAGGACATTACTGTTTCTCTTCTAGAGAACATATATTCAGCAATCCTTCCATCCATCTAGCACACCTAATGTACACAAGTAGTGCTGAATGACTCTCCTGTGTTTGAGACAACTATTCCTCCAGTGGGATAGATGCCTTAAGTTCAGTACACCAGGTCCAAAGTCCTGTTCATAAGGTCTTTGAAACCCTTTAGCCCTGGAAACGAGAGTTGGATTTCTGTCTTTCCTCTGGGACTGTAAGACTTCAGTCTTACAGGCTTGTATCTTCAACTGGTTTTGCCCTCTTATTGGTCCTTGTATCCATGATGACTTGTCGTTATCCCCTTTAACTCCTCTTCAGGAATCATATATCCTTCCTGATCACTAGCTTCAGACTCATTCTTCCCTTTTTCTTGCTTTGGTCCATTTTACTGCTTGGTCATCCATGTCATCCCTTTATTCTCATCCCTGCAGCTTCTGTTCCTATTCAGATGCTTCCTCTGGGATTTTTGCATGATGCTCCGCTGGGATTTCCTTCCTCTAGCAATGACTCTGCATCTCAGTAGGACGCCTCATACTTTCCCACATTGCAGCCCCAGAGCATTTGCAGCATGAAGGAGCCTGTGCCTTCACCTCTCCATCCCTACATGTTTCCCATTACAATACAGTGGCTCTTACTCTTCCCTTTCTCTGCTCGAGTCAGCATCCGATGGATCAGAGCACCAACGTAGCCCCTTTTAATCTCCTTTAGCACATGGAGCGTGTGCTTCCCCCCCCTTCTCAGGCTCTCTTGTCAAATTATTTATAGGAGATTGATTCACAGACCTGTTATGTCTAATTATATCCATTCAAATCTAATATGAATGGCAATTCTGCTAGGAGTTAAGATTGCCAAAAAGGTTTTGACCTAAGAAAGAGGAGGTGGTGGCTACGTATGCAGATCAGACCCTATAAAAGTACCCTGGGATCTGTGTGCCTTGTCCTTCCTCAGAATTCTCTAAGGTAAGGGTGTCAGAGGCTTTCGAGTGGGGAGGTGGGGGATGAAGGGAAACTGCCCCTGCATTCCACAAGCACCAGTGCATTCCTACAGACATTCACTGGGGGACTGCCAGAGTCAGCTGGGATTTTCAGTCTGCTTTAAAGGCATCCATATGTTTTATGTCTGTAAATTCTCTCTGAAATTCTGTGCAGCAGTAGGAAGGAAGTTGCTCATTTTCTTTGGCAGTACTGACCAGCTTCCAGCCTGCAAGCCCTTCATCTTGTCTCACAAAAGGTAAGGATTTTATTTATTCCCTCTTTAGGGCAGACAGAGATGCTCTAAGGCAGAACTTCTATGCAGGTGTGCTGGTAATCCCCATATTCCTTCTATTTGCTTCCATTGTATAAATGTAGTATGAGAATGAGGCTGGATTGCTGATACCTTTGCCACAAGATTCTCAAAAACTTAAAAGTAGTAATCTTCAAAGTACTAATCACTGCTGCACTGTCCCCAGGATTCTGTAGAGAGTGGTTTCCTACATGAACAGACAAGTCCTAAGCTTAGGAGAAACTCTTTAAGAAGAAAAACCCAACCAGGAAGTGATTGCAAATTGCTTGTCCATAAATTAAATATATTATTGAAGCAAATAGATTTTATTATTATTATTATTATTATTGTTGTTGTTATTATTATTATTATTATTAGCCTCAAACAGCAAGGGTAATTGTCTATAGCTGTGAAGCAACAGAGACACACGCATTTAAATGATGTTATATTTTCTTTTTTTTCACAGGATACTTGGGGAATGGGGTTACAGTGTTGTGTATCTAAATATTGAGGGCTAAAAGGAAGTATTTCAGCCACAGCTTTTTCTATACACTTGCTGTGCCTATGAAAATACTGCACAATTGTGATAGAATTATATAAACAAATATTCATGAACAGAGAAAGGAAGAAGGAATGACACCTATTTGAAGAACTAGAAAAAGAGAGATGGATAAGCAATTGAATTCAAAGCTTTAAATATTTTTCACCCAGGAAAATTAACTCTTCCTATTTAGCTTTTACATTAACTTATACTAATCTTTTCAAATATTGTCACTGGAATATATCCCTTAAAATCATAACATGTCAACAAGTCATCATGTGTAAAGAATCTAACTGGCATGCTTTGAGTAAGTAGAGGAGAGTTAGCACATAATTTATTTCAGGAAAAATAATATAAAACATCAGAAGTAAATAGTAAGCAAACACTATATATATTATATTATTATAAATATTATATATACTAGATGCCAACATACTGTCTACTATCCCACAATATATACTATAAATTTAAATAATACCATAAAGAGACATTGTAAAACTAAATCACTATATCTATTAAAAATACAATATACAACATTTATGTAATATATAATATACATTATAATATAATATACAGTATAATATATACTAACATAGTTTATACTAACATATTATATACTGATGTGTATAATATTATATTGTTATTCCTGTTAAGTATCTTGTAAGAGAGATTTCAGGCAATGATAGAACTGCTGGTGAAAAACTGGGGCCATTTTACAACCTTATGTAATTATTTTGTGTCTTTTTTTTTATTAAAGATACTTGAATGAAGTGGAAAATCATGTAGTTAGAAAACAAACCATCAGTCAAGAGATTGTTCCCAGGCATTTGAATTAATGACACTAAGTTTTGTGGTGAAGTCTGTCCTTGCTGGCTAAGAAGGCAATGCAATTTTTTCATATGTAAGCAGTGGAATTGAGTGGAACAAGTTTTGCAAAGTAGAAAAATATTAGTATAATTATTAATAATTATTTTTTCTGTTAGGTGGGCCATGCTACAAAACTTTAAAGGCTCAGAAGAGTTATAAAAAATGTCTTAAGTTTGGAATGTCTTTTCTGCAATCAAAGTGCATCTGTTTCTCAAGGAAAATTTCATCAATTATTTGATTTCCACCTAGAGTTTTGCCAGTGTTGGCAAAAAGTATTGATAGAGAAATGAGCTTCTTAATTTATTCAGAAAAGCTACTCAAAATCCAATCTGTAGGTGATGAACCTACATAAAATTAAGGTACAAGAAAAGGAATCATTTGAACAGTATTAATTGTGGAACAGTATAGCTAAATTTCAGCTTCACAATAGCATGAAAGTTTTCGCTCAAGGCAGTTGTTTGGCAATACTAAACAGGGCTACTGATCACTTAAAATAGAAGTGAATGAATACAAGATTACTTGGTTTCTGTTATGAAGAAGATCAAAGTGGAGAATATCAGATTTGTTTGTTAGCAGATGGATCTGTAGAATAATTGAAATATTTGACAACTTGGGCTATTTCATCCCAAGAGAATGTCTCTAATGAGAAGTGTTAATAATATGAGCTGTCTGCATATCCAGTGTTCTCTGCCACTTTCAGTTTATTATTGTGAACAAACCTCCTAGTCTGAAAGGTGCTAAAAAAAGAATACACTAGAGGGCTTTCATAAATCCAAAGCTGGGAATATTTCTTAAGTGCAGCATTTCAAACCTTGGGAAGGAAAGCATTTCCTCTGTAAATGCAGATGTCCAGGAGGTCTAGAGATCTGATTACATTCTAGAGAAATAAAGGGAAGAAAAGTATAGAACAGAGCTCTGACCTGGCAGGAAAACTGAAGAGTCAGTTCAACCAGCTGATACATACAGAAGAGCACCACCTAATCCTTTATGCTCTATCAGTTTTGCTTTCATGTGATGTATTTTCTACCCTCACAGGTACTTGCTGCATTACCCCGAGTAAATAGCAGCCATGTCAACAGATGCTGAGATGGCCATCTTTGGGGAGGCAGCTCCTTACCTCCGGAAGTCAGAGAAGGAGAGAATCGAGGCCCAGAACAAGCCTTTTGATGCCAAGTCATCTGTCTTTGTGGTACATGCAAAGCAATCCTATGTGAAAAGCACAGTCCAAAGCAGGGAAGCAGGGAAGGTCACTGTGAAGACCGAAGGTGGAGAAGTGAGTAAAAAAAAGTTCAAGAATTGAAAATACAATTTAATATTGCTGTGAATTTTTAGATGGCAAATATGGATCTTTCTCTGTCAGACTCTTACCGTCAAAGACGATCAGGTCTTCTCCATGAACCCCCCCAAGTATGATAAAATCGAGGACATGGCCATGATGACCCACCTCCATGAACCCGCTGTGCTGTACAACCTCAAAGAGCGTTATGCAGCCTGGATGATCTACGTAAGTACCAGCAGCACCTTCCCTTGGGCAGCCAGCAGGAACTGCTCTGCCAGGCTCAATGGAAGCCAACGTGCTGTCTCCCTTCCTCCAGACCTACTCGGTTCTCTTCTGTGTCACCGTCAACCCCTACAAGTGGCTGCCGGTGTACAACCCGGAGGTGGTGTTGGCCTACCGAGGCAAGAAGCGCCAGGAGGCCCCTCCACACATCTTCTCCATCTCTGACAACGCCTATCAGTTCATGCTGACTGGTGAGTGCTTGACATCCCTCACAGCAATCTAAACCAACAACCCCACTGATCTCACTGGAACACGTGACAAGCCAGCTAAAAACACCACGGAGCTGTATGACTCAGGACTTGATTGAGTTATGCAGGAATTAATTTCAAGTGAAACTGACCCAGAAGCACGCACGGACTCAGCATTGTGTTTTAACTGCATTTATTGTACAAAACTCTAAACTCTCCTACTGCAGAAATTGTACTTCTTAACTTTTTCCACTGATGGGATGGGAAGAATTATTAATCCATTTCTCCTGGTACCATATAATGCTCTATTTTGGATACTGATAGGCAGTTTCATTAAATTTTTGGATAAGAACTGTGTGAAGGGCAAGTGGATAGACAGCGTGTGTGAGCACCACACACCTCTCACAGCTCTAGGCATCCATTTAATCTTACTACTGCTGGGTCCTGGAAGGGAATCAGTAAGTTTTGAACTGCTTGGACAACAACTATTGGACTTGAAAGAAAGTCCAACTTCCATTTAAAGCTTTACTTCCCAGTTATCTCAGTTTTGCCCAGGTCTGCTGTTAACACCATCTTCTGTTCTGTTTCTTTGCAGATCGCGAGAACCAGTCGATCCTGATCACGTACGTAGCTCCCTGCTCAGGTCCCTGTGGGGCTGCCCAGTGCCAGGGGATCTCCTGCCTGACCACACGCTCTCTGCTTCTCTTGCCTTTGCCAGCGGAGAATCCGGTGCCGGGAAGACTGTGAACACCAAGCGTGTCATCCAGTACTTTGCAACAATTGCAGCCAGTGGGGAGAAGAAGAAGGAGGAGCAG